CTTTGTGCCACTTGCACTGCTTTTGTTTTCGCCAGCACTGTGCACTGCTGGCGCTTCTGCCGCCGTATACCGCCAGCACTTTTCTAGTTTTCCATCGTCAATCAGCTGCCAGGGACCTTGCCCCCTACCGGGGGACTTCCTGCTTCTCCACCAGCCACTGGGGGTACACCAACCAAAAAAGATTGAAAACCCCTGTTCTAAAAGAATGACATACAGAGCTCTTTTCCATAAGTGAAAAACCACTGCAGTTAGAAATCTTAAACAAGTACATTAAGCCTTCAATCTGCCAATTTGGACAGGAGGTCTTACATGTAAAGTAGAAATTTCCAGTACTTGAACTTACTGAGTCAGCACTGTTTTTTCAGAGAAACTTCTGGAAACTGAAGTCCCTGAGGATGAGAATTTCAGAGCATCACAAATGATCAAAATAGAGAGAGTTCACCTCCCCACCCGAGCAACATGGAATCTACGTTAAATAGTAAATCTCCATCTACCTACATCCTGTGTGCCGAATACAGCAAACTAGTGGCCTTTCATACAAACAAACTCAGACAGACTGAACCACTCCTTTCAAACACCTTTTTTCAACTTGCGTAAGTAGAACACATACCTAACAGCTGGTATTTATAAATAAGAAATGGGATCCAATCAAGCTTCTCCAGTTTCAAGATAGATCAATTTATTTCTAAAAGTATTTTCAAAAGAGCCTGGACTTAACCAATCTTCTCTTGTATCATTCCATCAAAAGATCTCTGTTTTGACTATTGCCTTGGACCTCCCCCTTTTTACACCAGTAAAAGTTTGGAGAGATGTTCTCCAGGGACATGGGTGATGCAGTGAATTTGTTTAATGCCGTCGCGTCGCGTCAGATCAAGCATTGTAAAGTTGAAACTGAGGTCAGAAAGGTCAGAAAGTTGAAACAGGGTGTCAATTTATAAACCTTGTAAGCGTGAAACATCGTAACTCAAAAGGTTGCAAGTTGAGGACTGCCTGTACTGCTCTTTGCCTTCGAGAGCTCCCGTAATGAAAAAATGCTACATGAGGTAGGTGTTGTTATTACAATGCTGGCACCAAACAAAACAAGACTTACACATTCATCTCTCTGGTTGCTACTTCCAAAGTTTATTGCTTCGTTGTATTTAAGCCAGTGATGCTCAACCTTCTGGGTCTGTGGAACAGATGAGAGGCATGGGGCTGGTCTGTGGGCCAGATCCCGAAGGTGGGGTCAGTCTACAGGCTAGATTCAGAGTGGGGACAGCACTCAGGGCAGGTCCATGGCCTGATGCTGCGCACCAGATCCAGACATGGCCTGACCCTGCGATCAATGCTGGCACTGCTTCCCTGGTGCCAAATTTCTCGACTGTAGGGAGCCCCACAGGCCACATTCAGCCTGCAAACTGGAGGTTGGCCACCTCTGCCTCCTAATCTCATCAGCTCCGCTCCAGGTTTCTCTAACACATGGGAACACTGGCTACATATTAAAATTAAACCAAATGCTATGATTACAGCAACGCAAACCCTGAGGGTTTTACCAGAGCTAGAGTGTTTGCAGGCTCTTAGACGTCACCACTACTTCTACATTAGCAATCTTAATATTGCAGCAATGAGCATTCAGCTCAGGTTTGCAGGACCAGAAAGCAAGTGAATGCAAAAAGCCTAAATAAATCTCTACCACCATTTCCACACATAGATCTAAACTTGTCAAAATTATTGTTTCTACATTGTTTGAATTGTGCATTACAGAGACATCTGGCATCTCATAGCTTTACTGAGAATTCACATCTATGGTTAGCTTTCAGTTCCAGAAAAGTGTCAACTGATCACATGTGAAGCAATCCTGATTGCTGTCTTCACAGAACTGACTGTATATAAGCTACCACAGCTTACTATTCTTCCCTTCACAGAGCCATTATCTTTCTCCTCCACACCACTTACAGCCAGGAGGAGCCTTTCAAACCATCAGTAACATTTCTCAAAGAAAACGCACAAAACCACAGAAATACTGCCTAATGTACTGAAGCCTGCTGTTACTTAATATGACCCTTTGGCATTAAACACAACATAGATTATTTTTAGTATGTGATAGCTCTTGGTCCTCCCTCGGATACTAGACTTCTTGCCTTCACCTGTCCTAGGATGGAATCCTGCAATTCTCCTGTCTTTAGGCTGAGTCCCTGGGCCCTTGGCACTACTTTATGCTAACTTTGCAGGCTCAACAGGGTTCAGTTACCTGCAAGTCTTCCCCTTCAGAAGATGAGACCAGTGACACTATGACGATTCAAAACTGCTACCTAAAAACAAAGTGCTATTTAATTTTAGTAGTAGAACAAAGCAAAACAAAGAAGGGATTTTAACTGTAACAAATGGGCTGCATGCATCTTAGCTAGTTTAACCAGCATCTCCCTGAATGCTTAGGCAGGTCTAACTGCTTAAGAACCATCCCTGCATCAGTCTACTTCCCTCTCCCCTTTTAAAGGGAGAATCTTTTGGCTAAATTAAAGCGCTTTGTTCCAATTCCCCACTTCGATCCTCCCCTTCCTCTTCTGCTAAGGCAGCTGATCCAACACAGAAAATAAAGCTTTACATCTATACCGTCTTTTGAGTACAGATGTTGGTAGCTACAATCATTACCTGGTTTCCTGTGAACAAATGAAGTGCCCAACCACTTGGTAAAACACGGAGGGACACATAATATCTATCAAGTAAAACAGGGATCTTCCTTGCCTTTTGCTTATACATTACACTTAGGTGGGCATGGAGTTTCTATAGCAGTCAGAGTTCTTCATTCCTATATCTACAACCAGCATTGCCACTTCACTTCTCACATCCCTTCCTAGCCTACTGTATTAGCCGAGATTCAGGCACATACTTACCTTGCTGCTCAGCAAAGATTAGCCTTCACTTTCCTTCCATTGCGCAGGGTTTTTTAAAAAACGATCAAAGCTTCTACTGACTTATCACCCCTGCTTCATAATACCTTATTTTTTTTAACACTGATGTCTACTAAACCAATTAATCCAGTAATATGTTAGTTGATAGTTGTGAACAAAGGGCTGCCATTGTGGTCAAGGTGCCCAGGAGACCTGTGTTGAATTCCCAGCTCTGCTACAGAATTTCTGTGTACCCAAGGCACAATGTCTCTGTGAAATTCTGGTCTTCTGTATACTATCCATCCTTCAACTTCACAGGTACTCCTATCCCAAGTCCAATAGCCTGGGTCTGATTAAAGCACATCTTCCAGAAAGACAGCCAGTCTTGAAGACCTGAAAAGATGGAGGACCCACCTGTTCCCTGACTTATTTGTTCCAATGCTTAGTCACATTCACTATTAAAACACAGTGCTTTATTTCCCAACTGAATGTATTCAGCCATTTGTTTCTGCTACGGCTTTCTCCACTAAATTAAGTACTGAGTACTTTCTCCTATAAAGATACTTATCTGCTGTAATCAATTACTTCTCAATTTTCTCTCTGATAAACTAAATGGATTGAGCTTAAATCTCTCACTACAGAACACTTTCTCTGGCCCTTATAATTTTGTGTGGCAATTTTCTGCATACTCTCCAGTTTTTCAACATCCCTTTTGATACCTGACCTGGATGTAAAATTCCAGCATGAGTCTCACCAAGGCAGAGCACACAAGTAAAATCACCTCCCAGCTCCTACTTCCTCTGCCCATTGATTGCATCGGCCTTTTTTGCCACAGCTTTACAATTTGATCTGCTTATTACTGTAATATTTTCTTGCCTCACAAGAATTTTGAGAGGATAAATTGACAACTACATTTGTATTTGATAATGATAAAACCACAAGAATATCTAAAGTGGCTTGGGAAGTAAACAGGAAACACCCTCAAGTTATCATTAGAAATGCATTTTAAATGAAAGTAATGTCTAAGAAAACACAACCAGCCTGAGGAAGGGCGTTTGTGCCCAAAAGCTGGGAAAGAACTTTTTTCCATCTGTTTAGTTGGTCTAATAAAGATATCACATCTACCCAAAGAACCTTGCCTTTACCAGCATGACTATAATATTTTATGCAAATCACTGGGGCACCCACATTACTTACCTAAGTTAAATCCAATGACAAAGTGTACTGTCCCTCAAAGGTATATGATGAACCTGCCCTCTAACTGGATACGTACAGGAGCAGGGTGATAGCAATCTCTGTTTTTGCAACCATTCCAATTTTAACTGTTTCTTCTACTGAGAAACTCAGAGCGCAGGAGGCATTGCAAGTTTTCTTCTAAAAAGAAGCTTACGCTTAGTTTCTAAAACTTTTTAAAAGCTTTCTCCTTCACCACAAAGTCTTCTGTTTCCACTGCAGTCCAGAACATCACCACTCCCTCAGCCCTGCATCTCCTATTGCAAATCTCTCCCTCCAACAATTTTCAAACCTTTTTAATCCTAAGGAATTGTAAATAGATTTGTATGTTTGTGTGTGTACAAAATGACTGGATTTTGTTCAAGTGCATTTGTAAGCCCCACCCACAAGTACATAAATTTCTTCACGTTCATACAAGTCAACAAATCTTGTCTGCTTGTACTTACTTTGGACTCATTTGCCTTATTTGCAAGGATGGCTCAGGACAACATGTGGACCCCCTTGTCACCCACTGACGAGTCCTTCTTCTGGCAACAGAACAAACTTTTGCTAAGCCTGAAACTCAATCATGCTACGTGTGTGGTAAAATAAAGGATACAAATACATAAACAACATCTCCCCCACTATGATGATGGTTTCCAGGAGTAGAAACTGCTATTGCCTTGTTTGGTTGGTTGGTTTTGAACATTTATTCACAATAAGCTAGACAGTTTCCAGTTGAAAAGTAGACAATCCCTGCCACAAGAAATTCACAATCTAGAGCGAACATAAAAAAATTCCGATTTATTTCCAAATGGACAGCTTGGCAGTATGTTAAGGAAATAGAAAATCCCAAGAGAGTATGCAATAACCAATTTGAACATTTATTTTATTTTTTCCATATCAAAATCCCAAGAACTGAAAATGCTCCAGTCAGAAACTTGCTGCCTGGAAGGAGAAAGCAAACTCTCAATAGGCCAATACAGAAACATCAGCTAAAATACCATGAATGAAACCAAAGTCGGAATCTGGCCAGGTGGTCACAATGTTACCAAGAGCCTCATCCAGATCCCCTTAAATTCTCACCAGTTGCACTACCCAGACTTGCTATGTCCACATTTCTCTTTCTGAAGTTTGCCAAAAATGTAGCTGCAGTTCTGGTGGCAAAGGGAAGAGCATTAATACATACAGAGAGCTGTAAACACCATCTCTCATCCTACTCAGAGCAAGGTGAAACAATGCAGTAGCCAAAATGATCAATGTCTTGTCCACTGCAGCCTGAACTCTTAGTAGCGGTAATAGATTTTAGGCAAAAATCCTAAGGAAAACCTTAAAGTACGAGGATGACTTATACGAAGCTTGGCCTGCAATGAGTTCTTTAAAGACAGAATGACAAACAACGCCTAAACAGCAGAGTCCTTCCCAATAATTCATGCAAATACCCCTTCGCAGGAGACGTGCGTATAAATACCTTTGTACGAGAGACCAAGTTTTAAACTGAACACGTTCACATCTTTAAAATCACAGGATCGTCTTTGTTTACAAGGCAGTACCCACAGCACGCCCGGCCATTTTCAGACATAAAAACGGGCACGGTCCCTGCCTTGGGTGGCCATCGTGGAGGACGGTCCGGTTGTCCTCTGTCGATACAAAATGCAATGCCTTTACATCCTCTATTTTTCTCTTATTTTTTAAAAGCCTGATGTCTACGAAACCAAGTCATCCAGTAACATGTCAGTTGATAGTAGTGAACAAAGGGCTGCCATTGTGGTCAAGGTACCCGGGAGACCCATGCTGAATTCCCACAAGAACTGCTGTGCACCCAAGGCACAAGGTCTCTGAGAAATCCTGGTCTCAAAGAGAAAGAGAGAGGACGTAAAGGCATCGGGTTTTGTACCGTCGCCGGACACCTTTATGTCCTCTGTTCTTCTTGAGGCGATATAAAGGCGTCCAGCAGCAATAAAAAACCCAATGCCTTGATGCTCTCTTTCTCTTGAAGACAGAAAGAGAGGGCGTCAAGGCGTCGGGTTTGGTACTGTCGCTGGACACCTTTACGTCCCCTATTTCTCTTGAAGACAGAAACAGATGGCATCAAGGCATCGGGTTTTGAATCATCTTCCTTGACGAGAAATAAAGGTGTCCGGCAACGATACAAAACCCAACGCCTCGATGCCCCCTATTTTCCTCGAGGAGAAAAACAGAGGCCAGAAAGGCGTCCGGTTTCGTACCGACAGAGGACAACTGGACCGTCCTGTTCAACGCCCGCCCAGTTCCGGACCCCGCGCCTCGCCAGGCCAGGGGGACGGCCCGTGACCCCTACGACGGAGCCCCCCGCCACATGGCGGGGCCCAACGGCGGCCTGAGCGCGCAGGACCCCTCGGTCCCGGCCCCTCCGGGGTCGCAGCAGCTCGCGGGGGAGCGAGTCGTGAATGAAGCATCCTCGGACGGGACCGCCGCCCCGCCGCCCCCCTCAGCTCAGCCCCCCGCCGCCCCCCGTGGGCCCAGCC